GGGCGCGCTCTGGACTGAGGCCCGCGAGCAGGCCCTGTGCGGCCCCGGCCTGCGCAAAGCCAAGTACCGCAGCTTCCGCCGGCGGCTGCTCAAGTTCATCCCTGGACTCAACCGCTCGCTGGAGGAGGAGGAGAGCCAGCTGTAGGGGCGCGGCGGGCGGGGAAGGTATTTATTTATTTATTCGATCCAGCCAGTGCAGAAAGGGGGTGGGGGGGCGGGTACCCGGGCCGAGGGGACTCCAGGAGCCCAGCGCAGCGGGAGAGGGTCCTTGCCAGCCCCAGCTGGGCTGCTGGTGCCTGGCTGTCTCTGCGGGCCCCAGATCCTTTTAGTCCTCCTCCCCTAAACCACAGTGGGAGGTGGGGCAGGGAGAACCAGGCAAGCCTGGGTTGGGAGAGGTTTGGGGGCGTTCATCCTACATCTGGGTCAGTAGTGCCTTGTGGGGTGTCCAGGAAAACCCCTCTGGAGGGGAGGAACCTTGTCCCACGAAGCCCTCTCCTCAGCTTTACTTGCTCCTCACCTTTGGCCTGGGGGAGAAATGGCCTCTGGTCGGTAGTCCCCCTACCCTCCACACATACACACCGTCCCAGTTAACCACCGGGCCCCTGAAGGGGCCGAAGGTGCTGGGCCCCCTCCTTCCCGGCCTTGACCCCTAAGGGCTTGGCCCCTTCCAGGGGCCTGTAACTAAGTTGGGTCCTGCCGGGCAGGGGTCCTGGGTTCTCTGCCCCTTGGGGGACAGGAGTGGACATGTCCAGGTGGGTGGGGCGGCACACTGTTCCACCGTTTTGCATATCGTTGCTTCTGAACCACAAACTGTATAAAATTGACGGTTTTTTGCATCTGTTGTCAGCGTGTTCACTGCCTGGGGGCGGGGGCAGGATTGGGCTCCGGCAAAGCTCTGACTCTACCACACACCCCTCCCCCCCAACACACACTTGGGTGCGAGCACGCACGCGTGCGCGCGCGCACACACACACACACACACACACACACACACACCCCTACACTGTATTTTACATCTTATTTGTATGGAGCCTGCAGCCAGGGGAATGGTCTGGGGGATTTTGACTTACATGTATGAACCTGAGCAAGAGGCCCCACACCCTCTTGAGAACTTGGGCCTCTTGTTTAAGTGCATTTTGAACCTCCCTTCCCAAATACAACAGGTGGTGGCCAAGGCTTGTCTTAAGTCCTTAACTATCCCTGTGCAAATAACGTGCTTGGAACCTTCTCAGTGCTGGGCCTGGGTCTCCCACAGAGGAGGCCTTAGCCACCAGCCACCCAACCTGTGACAGGCCTAACCACTGACCACCCATTGTTCTAGAACTCCTCACTGGTTCCCCAGTACTCCTAGAATAAGTTTCTAACTCCCATGCTGGGTTATCTGACCCCCGCCTGCCTCATTTTCTTGTCTTCCTTCTCCGGCCCCTTTGCCGAATCTGGTATGCTTCAGATCCCATCCACCCGAGGCTCTGCGTTCACTCTTCCCATAATTGGCCCCTTCAGTCCTCAGCTCTGCCTCCCAAAGGACTCCCCACCCAGTCTAAAATACAGTCACACCTTCCACTGTGAAGCCCTGGATTTTTCTGCCCTACGACTCATCACCATCTGCAGTTGTCTCGACTTTTGTGGAGTCTGGTGTTGGCCTGGCCCCCCTCCCTGGGACGATGCACACTCCTTGCAGTAGAGCCCAGGGACCTTTCCTGTCTTCTCTGCGGCTTTAATTCTTGCCTGATACCAGCTCATAGTAGAACCCCAATAACTACAGTGTGTGCTCCCAGCATCTCCAGGAGGTGGACACCACCTTTCTTTGAGGTGACCCAGGGCAAGTGACCTGTCCAGGGTCACACAGAAAGCAAGTAGAAAGCTAGGCCTGGGACTTGAGACTCCTGTGCCAGTGCTCGCTGGCAGTGACCAGCATACAAGGAACAGCTTTAAGGGGACTAAGTGGCACCTTCCCCCAGCCAGGCCATCTCCTACCCTCTCTGTCCTGCACGGTACTGCACTTGCTTCCCGAATGGGCTCCCCGCTTCCTCTCTTGCCCCCAGACCATCCCTCTACCTAGTAGTTTGGGCGATCTTTCTGAAAAGGAAATCGGGTCATAACCCTCCTCACTTAAAACCCCTTATGGCTTCCCTGAAATAAAAGAATAAAATCCGGGCGCCTGGGTGGCTCAGTTGGTTAAG